GGTCTTCTGGCGAGTCATCCTCGATGCTTTGGGGAGACAGCAGATCTGATGGTGGAGAGGAGGGAAGGATGGGCGGAGGGGAGAAGAATCTGTGTGGCATGCCATCTTCGCCGTCGGATGTGGCAGAATGCGGTGAGATGATTCGAACAGTCTTGCCAGTCTTGGTCTTCGTTAGGCGTGGGAGGTCTAATGTGCATTAGCACTTCCATGGCTACATGGATAAAAATACATGATTTTTCCTCAAATCGTGGACCTAGTTTTACCTGTATCTATGGGTGGGATCCGAGGTTCCGGTGTATCATCGTTTTCAAAGGCGTTATGGACAGGGCCAATTGGAATATGAGAGTTCTGTTCAGTGGTTTTACGGCGGAAAGGGTTGGTGCCAGACATGACGACTCCTTGCGCAAACGGTCGTCATGAGGGCAATTATCATGAGCAAAGACGCGTATCCTCCGAAGGTGAAGTGTTTTACATCATCCGCTGCGAGGCAGTCCTGGTATCAGAGCTTACATGTACAATAAGCAAGTTAAGCTTTGCCGTTTGCACTGCATATCTCTTGGCAATAAATGTAAGTACTCGTACCCCCAGAGTTCCCCCCACTCGCACACGCGTGGCCGCTTTAGCGAGTGCGCTAGTTGAGCAGGGGTGACTTTTCGCTCTCGTGAAGTACTTTACCCTACCATATTCTCTGATGCTACGATATAATTGTAGGATGATTACTCAGTCTCTCAGCTATCCCAGACAGATATATCATACAGCCCAAGATCTTGGGGACGTGTAAGATTATAAAAGAAGCTTGTCCCGGTCCGTTTCTTACTTTCTTAAGCTCTTTCAAATCTCGGGCCGCTTCCAGCGATGCCTTTCCCCTTTCTTCAACTGGCTACCGAAATCCGTCTACCAATATGCAGGCTCCTTCTGCCCTACTCTGAGTATGATGTTAAGGCCCAGAAAGACGATTGTCCGGTCAGGTGGTACTCAGGCCAGTACCGTTGTCCGAGCATCCTTTTGGTGAACCGCCAGATCCATCTAGAGGCTGCAGAGATACTGTATTCCGAGAACTTCTTTGCCATCTACGTCAAACATCCGCGGGATCCACGCCTGCCCATGAACGAAAGTCGAGCGGACCCGGAATCTTTCATGTTCGTTTCCTGGGCCAAGTCTCCCGAGGCAAAGATGAACCGGGCTTGGGCGCATCCACAAAATCCAAGAGTCCCTTGCTCTATCCTGGGACATCACCAAAGTTTTCATCATATCCGAAAATTCCACATTAGTCTGCCGTCCTTCGATGGTCTCTCTGGTGTCGACATGTTCATGAAGAAGACGTCATTTGCTGCGTTCAATGGTGTCAGTGCTTGGATTGAAAATTGTGCCAAAAAAGGAGACTACCTCGATGTTGCCGAAAAGGAGCGGATGTCTATCGTACAGCATTTCAAAGATCCAATTGACGAGCTTGGAAGACTGCTTCAAACTTCGGAAAGAATCGATCAATTATGCGTAAGCGTCCAAGCATCGAAGTTCCATATCACGTTTCTTGAATATCTTCTCGAAGAACTGTTGAGAGTCGGCGAGGTTGGTGGCGCAGCTTGCTACTTCGCTCCGTCCCTCCTACATCCTCATACGCGAATGCTTTGGGGGAACCTCGATTATTCTCAGCTGAGGAGGTGGGAATATCTCCTACAATTGACGCCCAAAAAGCAAAGGGAAAAGTCTCAATTACCGCCAGAAGTGGACGATATGTATCGGTTGCTGCTCGCGATCCGGACTTACCAACAGCTAGGTTCTATACCGATGCCTGACTGGCTCTCCCCAATGCCAGCATAATTTGTTGGATCGGCTTCACCGCTTTGGGCCGTATTTGACAGAATGGCGCCTCTTATCTAGTAGCTGATGCAGCATTCATCCCGCATTCCGCGCGCACTCAAGGCCCTTCCCAATGGCAGAGACCACTTCTTACATCGTTGATTCCAAAGTGGTGGATGGCCCTCCTGTCAACCAGCTTGCTTACAAATTTCAAGCTGCAGAATTAAGTTGGGGCTCCCATTCAATCATCCCTCGGATAGCAGCAGTCGAAAGCTCCATTGATATATAATAGCGAGACTAGCGTACTATTCGTCTCCTCGATAGATATGCCATCCTATCTCTGCTCCGAACCACCTTTCCGCCAACCTCCCTCCGCTTTCCGTTGGCTGGCTGAAGGCCACGAGATCCTTCGGCGCTTCAACCCCGTAAAAGAAATTGTTTCTTGCACATTCCAGCAGATCCACGGCCAACCCCTTCCCACGATATGCTTTCGAAGTCCATATCCGACAAATACCAAGCAGGGCGATATCAGCTGAGGTCGACACTGATATGGATGAGCTCTTGGATGTCGTTATGACTTTGGTGCCCTCTTCTCCGGCAGCGCACCCATCCACCACACCAAATGCGCTGCTGATCTTCTCAGCCAGACAGAAGCCAACGCACTTGTCGTGCACCAAATAGAGAAACGCTTTGAAACGGTCCCCTCTTCTGTCTCCGCCTTCGCTGCTGCTTTTCCGTGTCTCTATGATCTTTTGCTCGGGGTTCAACGCGCACCAGAGGTGTTGATCATCAATATCTGTGGCAGAAAGCTCAGCATTCACGACATCCAACACTTTCCTGGTCCTATTTCTTGCTGCCATAGAGCTTTTCCGATCTACCGTTACGACCATCTCCCTTTCATCTTCTCTTGCCCTCTCTGACCGTATTCTTTTTACGCTGTCGTCCTTCGCAAACGCCTTGCCCATGTCTACGCCTCCTACGTTCAAGGCGCAGAACTTGCTGTGCAACGCCGCGTCCTCCTTCACAGATGGAATATACTCCATTCCGCATGTTCGACACGTCTTTCTTACTTCACCACCAAGATCAATCTGCATCTGCGTTAGGGGCTTTTTCGCTAGCCGCGGTAGCTTGCGAGCATTAGGCGTGATGTCGGACAGCGGTTCGCTCGCGGAGCCCTCATCGAGAGCAGGGCGTTTGCGCTTAAGAAAAGAGAATGCAGGCTTTCGTGAGGCTGGTATAGGCGATGGAAGACGAGGCGGAGATGAAGGCGCGGATGAGAGTTCGGAGTCGTCTTGCAGCGCGTCTGAGGAGAACAAGGCATTTTCTGCGGCTGGCGGACTCGAGGGTGCGGTGATAGAGGAAGCTGGCTCTTCTCGAGAAGCATCTTCTCTGGTCTCTGTGTGTGCTTTGGCGGCGGCGCTTACTTCGTCGAGGAGATGGCTTCCGGCCGGCTCCTCTGCGTACAGATGACTGTTGACATTCTGCTCTATGATGGTGCCGGTTACACCCATTCTTATCTTCTTCCGAGGGCGCTCGGCATCATAGCTGGTTTCGAGGCGCGCTCGTTGCCTTGAATAGGTCTTTACCGTGCCTCTGGTCGAGTGTTAGCTTCCGATACACATGTACTCGTGTATAATCGTGTATATTTATGCACCTTTTGAATGAATTTGAAACCCCGAAAGCCATCTTGATTGTATATCTGTTCGTTAAGTCTGGATTACTGGAAAGCAGGAGTGAGGGTCGCCCAGAAAGTTGTTTGCCTGACGCGAACGACGCGCCTTAAAGCCGAGGTCACACCTTACATCCGGGCGCTAGGAATTAGGAGTTTTGAACACAACACAACATGATACCCCATGGGATGATGCTTTACACTGAAATTTCCCTGGGAGAATAGTTTTTCTTAACACTTTTTGAATCGATTCGGCTTTCTACCTCCAACCACCCCCCCCAGGGCCCCACAGCTACCTACACTGCCCTGCAAGTACGCCTGATGCACGAGCACGTCGGGCGTCCTCGGGCCTCAACACATTCCTGTGATTGGTTTTTCACGTCCGCGCGTACGCATGGCCATCATCAAAACTATCACATACCTATTCCACCAATTGGACTTTCATGTCGACGTTTTGCCCAACTCCCCTATTTACTCTGACTCCCGACGCAATTCTCAAAAATGTTGATGCACAGAATCGGCCAATCGGCTGAGTGCCTGTCGGAATATTTCCTTCAATTCTAGCCAATGATATTCTTATCATTACCCAACGTCCCGCGGCTTTCGGGGCAACAGCGGTCGAGGACAGGAATGTGTGAAGAAGCGCTTTGAGAAAGGCCACGCTCTACTCTCTGGAGCAGCATGCGGTATTCACACGTCTGTACCCTAGCTTCTGCACTGGCTTCTATCACAATTCTCACTGCCACAACTGTGCTTGCCTCCCACTTACAACTTGAAAAAGAGCCTTTGTTGGGTCCTCCAGCGCTTGGACCCACCTCCGGCTATGACGATCCGAGGGATCCATCCAGCATCAAAAGTGGTAGTCCACGGAGCAGAGACCTGGATCAAGCTCACACTCAAGACTTAATGTCATTGAGGCAACCGACATCTACGGCTTCAAAACGCAGGCCAAACATCTACCACAGTCACCTGGTATGGAGCACCTCTCGTTCCAAGGCCGGATACAGTCTTTCCGTCTCCGAACGCAGTCTTCTAACCGACCTCACAATGATCGGCTTCAGGTTGGTCTGGGATTACATGGACATCGCCTACACATCATACATCGCCTTCCACCAAACAACCGAACTCTGGGCCAACATAACAGCCAACGCACGAGGTAAATGGAAAGCCGAGAAAGAAGTGATGACCCTTGACATCATCTATGGAAGCCTGAAATTAAGCATTGCCGGCCTGGTCGACGCGATCTCTTGGGAACTTTTAGCAGATTTTGCAGCGGAGATGCTGGTACTATCTCGTAATATCGTCGTTGTAGCATTCAGTGTGATCATTTTTGCTAATTGGGCAGCCATGGTTATCACGCTCGTGATTGCAGTCCAGCTTCTGGGTACTATCAAACCACAACAGCTCATCACGGGGCCATAGGCTCAGATTCGGAAGTGGCTATGGCACGAGCATAGTGGGACAGCGACGATGACAAATATGTTCTATGAAGTTCGCACTATATACATGAGATGTCTGAAAAAGACATTTCTTATACAAAAGCTTGGATACCTGTGATGGCTCTACCTAGAATCAATGAATGGATATCGGATTGACCCTCTGGCAAGATTTAGCAACGCAGTGGGAACCCGGGACCACAAAGTCTTACCATAAGTCTGCGTCACGAAGAGATTGGCAACATGTCTTCCAATGCCATACTCGTCACTGACTGCATTGCCGCCAAAGATCTCCTGTAACCTGTCGGGAGATCAGTTATGGTTAATGAAAAGAGCCGGCAGACTCACGTCCTGGCATTCATCAAAGCACGGTCACAATTCTGCCTTTTAATCATCGAAATCATCTCTGGAGCCAATCTACCCTCATCTTTCAGACGGCCAACCTGGGTTGCGGCTAAAATCCCATACGAAGCATCTGTAACGGCATCGGAAAGTTTCTTTTGCACCAGCTGGTATTTTGCGATAGGGTTATTCTTGAATTGTCTCCGTTCCAAAGCATACGTCCTTGCTCTGGCGATACAGTCTTCGAGAGCCCCCATAACGCCCCAAGCAATTCCATATCTGGCCGAATTGAGACAGCTGAAAGGACCTTTCAGCCCCTCAACTTCTGGAAACATGTTTGCTTCCGGAACCGGACATTCATCCAATTGTATCATGCCGGTAATGGAGGCTCGGAGACCATTCTTATTCTTCAAAGGCGGTGTCTCTAGTGTACCAGGAGGGCATTGATCGCGTTCAATCAGAAAGCCCCGTATCTTACCAGTGCTTTGCAACTTGGCCCATACGAGCATGACTTCAGCTATTGGGGAATTTGTGATCCATGTTTTTGAGCCCGACAACGACAAGTATCCCTCCTTCGAGGGATGTGGTTTGGCCGTGGTCTCCATTGACCCGGGATCAGAGCCATGATTAGGTTCTGTCAGACCAAAACAGCCCAACATCTTTCCCTTGGCCATGCCAGGGAGGAATCTGTCTTTTTGTTCTTTTGTCCCAAACTCGTCTATACCGCCCATAACCAGCGAACTTTGAACCGACATCCCCGAGCGGTAGCCAGAGTCTACTCTTTCTACCTCTCTGGTGATAAGCCCCGAGGCAACGCTGCTGACGCCAGCACAGTCGTAGCCCTTGATTGTTGCGCCGAGAAGCCCCAACTCGCCCATCTCTTCCAAAATCTTTCGATCATAATGCTCATCTCTGTAGGCGTCTAGAATAATTCATTAGCCGATCGTAGTGCTATGAGGAGCTATTATTGCGTACCAAGGACTCGTGGAAGCATGCGTTCTTGACAGTATGAGTATGCAGTCTCTTCTATGGCCAATTCCTCTTCAGTGAACAGAGAGGTGGAATCCAGTGGATCTTCCCAATTGAATGCTACCGGAGCGTGAGCATACCGTTTTGTAACTGCTGGTGTCCTGGCAGTATTGACTAGCTGTCTTCGTAATGCATGTCTGATCATCATGAATATGTGCAAAAAGTGACAGGAATGCAAGGAAAAAGAAAGAGAGAAAGCTTAGACATATTGAGTAGAGCAAGTAGCAATTGAACTTCTCCATCATCTCCACACTGCTGTAGCCGGGACCGAGGCATGAGGTCACCCGGACAAGCGCCGCGAGCGAAATTCTGCTTTGTATCCGTACCGGTTCCTCTACTTGTAGTCCATGATATTCGGAAGTACCTCATTGAAGCAAGACCGAAGCTCTCGCTCTGCTCCATTGCAGGTGGAGTGCTACCGAGATGTGAAGGGCGTCAGAATGCGAGTGAACTTTCTCCAAAACGCGTGAACGTCACTTCCTGACGCGAAGCCGTGTTCCACTTCCACTTTCCGAATCATCTCTCTTGCCCTCGTCCAATACTTGCACAAGACAGCCCTCAACATGGGTATCAAACGTAAGTATTATCAGAAGATGGTACATGCGTGTTAGAACCTTGTTAACGTTTTTCAGAGCTCGCCTCGATCATCCACGAACACGCCCCAGATGCCATCAAGCAGGGCGAAATCAAAAACCACTTCGGTAGAAAGGTTGCCATTGTAAGTTCGCACTCTTTGCCACATCTGACATGAAAATACTAACACTGCCAGGATGCGTATGAGGATATCCTCCCCCTTCCATTCTTAACACCAAATGACACATGGTTGCAGTTCGATGAGCATCTACAGCTTCCTCATAGCGGTACGCTCAGAAGGCCAGCAACTTATGAACGAGAACGGCGAGACGACTTCACATTTGATGGGCATGTTCTATCGTACATTGCGCATCGTTGACAATGGCATCAAACCACTTTACGTCTTCGATGGCGCCCCACCAAAGCTCAAGTCGGGCGAACTAGCCAAGCGGTTTGCGAGGAAAACGGAAGCTACAGAGGCGCATGAAGAAGCCAAAGAGACAGGAACGGCAGAAGAAGTCGAGAAGTTCTCCCGGCGCACTGTCAGAGTCACTCGAGAACACAACGATGAGTGCAAGAGACTTCTCACACTCATGGGTGTCCCATACATTGTTGCACCGACCGAGGCTGAAGCCCAATGCGCAGTACTAGCAAGAGCAGGCAAAGTCTATGCCGCCGCATCGGAGGATATGGATACTCTTTGCTTCGACTCGCCAATTCTACTGCGTCACTTGACGTTCAGCGAACAACGCAAAGAACCCATCCTCGAGATTCACCTTGATCGTGTTCTTGCGGGCCTCGCCATGGACCGAAAGCAGTTTGTCGACCTCTGTATCCTTCTAGGCTGTGACTACGTCGATCCAGTTCCCAAAGTTGGTCCCTCCACCGCGCTCAATCTTATCCGCGAACATGGTACTCTGGAAAACGTTGTCGACTTCATCAAGAATGATCCCAAAGGCAAGAAATTCACACTGCCGGACGACTGGCCATTCGAAGACGCTCGAGATCTATTCTTCTCACCCGACGTTCGCGCTGCTGATCATCCTGACTGCGACTTCAAATGGAACGCTCCCGATGTGGAAGGACTCGTTAAGTTTCTAGTGACCGAGAAGGGCTTCAGTGAAGATAGAGTTCGGAGCGCCGCGACGAAGCTGACAAAGAATTTGAAGACATCCCAGCAGGCACGCCTGGAGGGGTTTTTCAAGCCAGTACAGAAGACAGAGGAAGAGGTAGCTAGCCTGAAGAGGAAGAACGAGGACAAGAGAGAGGCTACGAAAAAGAAGCAAAAGCTTGAAAAGAAGGAGAAAAAGGAGGCAAAATCGAAGCCGCGGGGAACTGCTTGAGTCATGGAGGGCATAAGCTTCGTTTAAGGTGTCATCACGTTCACAGTGCATACCAGCACGAGGAAAGCGAGGCGCATCAAGGCGTTAAGGGTTATGAGAATTGCATCACGGCTTCGGCATAGATATTCGACCTGTGGTGCGAAGATCAGTTGCTTGAAAATGCATGCACAGCTAGGCTAAACAGCTCTCAGATATCTCATTAAGGCTCTGTGGAAGGCTATTGCGTGCAGACAAATCTATTCGAGTTCTCGCTTTCCAATTCCCAGGACCTGTTTGCTAGTTTCTTGACCGGCCAAGAAAATGGCTCATCCTCAAATGCGGTATATTACGACCCTTTCCACCCCTCACACATAAGGGTTAACCTGTTCCTCGCTCCATTCCCAAAAACTTGGCTGCGTGCCCCCTACCCCCTCCTTCTTCCGTGCTCTGCGCACAAGCCGGATCCTCACGGAGTGGATGACCACAACGGCCCCAGGGTACGACTGATCGTAAGAGATTTGGTCAGCAGTGTGAAGGAGACGCAAGCATCCCCACTCCCCTTGCAGAGCGTAGTCAGACAGAAGACTAAGACATGATCTTAATGTATGCTCCATTCTTTGAAGTATTCGCTCCTGAAGAGAGCTCGGTGTAGGCGTCATAGATCGGTTCATAAAAAATACACCACTTCCCGTGGGATGTTACCCAAGATGTGAGACTGATCCTGAGGACCGTCGATTTAGCAGTACTAACAAATATCATCCGCTGATACCGGGGCGCATGGCGTTGCAAATCGGTTCCGATCCCACCGGGATGGAGACTCTGTGCACGAAAGGTCGGCCTTTCGTCCATTGCTGGTGGCGTCGACGTTTCCGTGCTGGATGCATACCAGACCGATGATGCCGTCGCTCTGTCGCTTGGCGAACTCGCTGGCACGGAGAGTATTGCCGGCTTTTGTGGTGCCATACTTGAACCAGGCGCTTTTGTCGGTTTCCACGTCCATGTTATCCACTTCGGCACCACCTTTCGGGGAGAGACATTCTGCGCCATTAGACGATACCCAAACAACGCGTACGCTACCTGGTGGCGCGGTTTTTGCGGCTTTAGCAAGGAGAGGATACAGCAACTTGGTGAGGAGGAACGGCGCGACGTTTTTGGTTCCGAATTGCAAGTCATAACCTTGCTTCGTTTTGCTGCTTTGAGGCGGGATCAAGAACCGCGGCATTGTTCCATAAAATATCAAGGCGCTCATTATCGCGGAGGAAGGCCTTGGCGGTGCTTTTTGTGGCTGTGAGATCATCGAGGTCGAGATGCAGGAAGATGAGCGAGCCTTGGGATTCGGGAACACGCGATTTGATCTCTGAGATGGCTTTGGCGGCCTTCTCTTCTGAGCGCGCTGCTACGTAGACTTTCGCATCGTGTAGATAAAGGATCTCCGCGAGCGCGCTGCTGATGCCGCTCGATGCGGCAGTCACGATTAAGACCTCGTGTTCATGTCAACAAGATGCAATACAAACAAAGGAGATGGCACAATCAGCCAGCTTGATCTGGGAGAGTCTTCTCGGTAAGAGTTGAGGCAGGAGGAAAGACTTGTGACCAGGTATTGCCCTTCTTATGAACAGCCGGGAGATAGGAGATGTATAGTCAATGCAATGCGTATCAGCACGAGGTTTGAACAGTCTATGCAGAAAATGGAGGTGAGAAACGCTTGAGGTGGTCACGAGACCTTTGCACACAAATGGTGATGAGCAAGAATGGGACAAAATAATTCAGCTGATTGCCCGTACCTATGTGAAAAGGGAGATGCTCTATGACATGGCTCACAACTGTGTCTACATCTGCTTCTGATCGTATCTTAGAGGGTGACTGCTCATGATCAAATTCCTTCTCAGGTATTGGATATTAGAAATTAGTCCGACAGATTGACTGAGATCCAACAAATAATCGGGATTTGCAAATACTTAAGCGAGAATAATGTGATCCTGTCGTCTTCTCACAGTACTGTATGTAGTAGTCACACTCCAATCAATGCTGATCAAAAGGATATATGATAGCAGTCAGCAAAGTATCTACTTGCCAGCTCGTACCTATCAATTTCATATTCGGGATCGTTGGACTGTGAGGATTTAATATCAATGTAGCCCAGCATTTAGACAGAACAAAATCCTAATCATTTTGGATTTTAATCGGGCGCTAGCCGCTAAATGTTGCGCCAAGACGTGATCCGTGATCCGCATTTGTTTATAAGAGAGGTGGCCCCGCATCTCTTTCGCAGAGACTCGAACGATCTTGCGCCCTTCAATTTCCCCACTCAACAACCACCTCCAAATTTGACATCCATCACAGCATTCGAAAGCTCACCAACGCGCCTTCAAACCCATATCCATCATCCAAAATGCCTCCAAAGAAAGCAACTGCTGCGAAGCCCGCCAAGACTGCCGCCGCCGCCCCTCATGCATCCTACAAAGGTATGCTCGACTCCAATTCTTGACCCCACCACGCTGTCGCATCACTTCGGCAATAGGTGCACCTTGGTCGCGTACCTCTGCTGACACATTCCCTTAGACATGATCAAGGAAGCTATCCTTGCTGTGAGTCTACTCCACCGGGCGCATTCGATCTTGCCGCTCGACATATGCTTCGCACCGCCCGACCACAAGACATGCCCACCACAACGCACCCCGCTACTGCATAAGAATAAACAAAGCTGACGCGTCTTCTACACCTGCAGCTGAAAGAACGTAATGGCAGCAGGTAAGCTACTTTTTGCTCTAGAAAACAACAAAATCGCGCTTTGTTTACCTTTGCGCACGCGTTATCTTTGATGGGTATCTGGCTAATCCAATTGTCGCACACAGTCGTCCTTCACTCAAGAAGTACCTCAAGGCCAACCACAAGAACCTTGCATCCTCAGACGCCGTCTTCGATACCCAATTTAACAAGGCGATCAAATCAGGCGTCGAAAAGGGAGACTTCGCACAACCAAAGGGTACGTCCTGGCATAGTTTTAGAACGTTCATGTGCTAGCTTGCAATCTTTCATGCTGTTGTCTCTAGCTTGTTGCGACGATGGCTGCTGATTCACGTCATCGTCGCCTTCCACCACATCGTTTCCCTCCTTGCAAAATCTTCCGTTTTTTCAATCGTTCACAGTCCAGAATGTGCTTTACTAATGACCACACAGGTCCATCCGGCACTGTGAAGCTAGCTAAGAAGGAGGCCGTTGCAAAACCTACCGCCGCCTCCACCAAAGAAAAGAAACCGGCTGCCAAGGTACATCTGTTGGCCCAGACTTTCGTTAAGAATCCTGGTTAACTCTTTGCAGAAGGCTACCACGGCAACAAAACCTGCAGGCACCAAGACAGCTGGTAGACCCAAGAAGACCGACACGAAGACTGCTGCTACGAAAGCCGCGCCGAAGAAGGCGTCCACCACCAAGGCAACAAAGACAAAGGCGGCGCCCAAGGCGAAAGCTAACACGTCGACCAAGCGTGTGAAGAAAACACCTGCAATGGTATGTCATAGTCCTCCATCAGACTTCCTTGACAACCGCTAACTAGTTGAGCCAGGCCCCCGCCATCGTCGAGGAGACGAAGATCTCTGCCAAGACAGCTTCTGGCCGTATAACAAAGGGACCTGCGAAGACAGCTGGCGCCGTGCAAAAGAAGAAACCCGCACCCAAAGCGAAGAAGGCTGCAACCCCCAAGAAGCCCAAGTCAACGCCCAAGAAAACCGAAACCCCCGCCACAGCTGCATAGATTGATTTTCTGTGTTCTCCGTCGTCGCGGAAATCATTACGAATAGGGCGGGAAGGAATGTGCGTGCAAGGAGTTACGTGATCCGAGTCGCTGCGCTACATATCACACCTACGCGGCAACTCGGCTGGAAGATATGAGAAGCTTTTCTTTGCTTTTGGTATCGGGGACAACATTTCCATGCTTGCTGTCACTTTGTGAATGCTGGGCGTTGCTGTCTGAGGGGTCTGTCAAATGCCTGTGACATACTCATGCTGTATCATACTTTAGCTCTGAATGTCAAGACTTTCAAAAACATCTTCCGCGAATCCTCGCAGTTCTTCCTCGTAATCGTAGGTAGATGAATGAACAGACTGGCTTTGCAATATTGACCATGTCGCGTCAGAGAAACAAAGCCTCCTGTAATGGCGGATACGAGCATGGAAGGCTCTCCTTTATTCGGCATACAGCGTATACACGGATTGCATCCCCGGGAAAGGAAGACACGTGGCGGGAATATGACATGGGTATCCTCCTGTTCCTCGATCAAACGGCATGAACTTATGGCACTGTTCCAGTATAATGCTGCACTGCGAGATTCAACCTTATCCGAATATGGCTGCATACATGGGGATATTGCCATACATTTGCGACGTTTTCATGTTTCTTGAGCTTCATCATGTGTAGGAATAGTCACATGTTTAGGGGTCCTACCCCGAGATGATGGCAATTTCATATTTCTCGATCTTCATCATGTCTGAGAGTAATTCTCATCAATACTTGCTTAAACCCGAAGGACTGGTCTCTAGAGAACTCGATGGCCCCGCTATCCTCTCGCCACAGTTTTAATCTGCGAGCCTATTGCACTATTAGCCCGATGTTCTCCCAATTCGGGTCCAAGCCCCAGCATGACTACTCACCTATAGCTAACGAGCGTGTCAACCCGATGATTGCTTGTACTGAAACTTCTCAATTGCACCTTCTCCCCATTTTCGATCTCCTTCGCGTCGCTATCTCCCCATTCCATCGGCACTTCTGAGTCCGCATCTGCGTAGACCAAGACGTTGAACGTGCAGTTGCCGGCATCGAGCTGTGGAAGGAAGGTCACGGAGGCTGTGATTTGGCGGAAGATCGACTGGATTTCAAGCTGGATCTCCTTCTCCGTCTTCTCCGGGGGCGGCGGTTCAGGGGTGTCTCTGTATTCGAGGTCAGGAAGAGGGATGGCACAACGGGAACAGAAAGAGTGGCTTGCATTGGCGCGGCATTCTCCTTGTCAGGCGGCTTTGACGTGTCCTTGGAAGCCGCCTTCTTAGAAGGCCTGTTGAATATCTGGACATCGAACTGCCATCGCTCAACGTGTTCGCCAGTCTCCTTGCTAGTAATTACAACCACCAGTTTGGAAATCTTGCCCCCTGTCATCCATTTGTTGAGCTGGGACATGATCTTCTTGATGTATGCTTTGACTTGATCATCGGATGTGACGAGCATGTTGAGTCCATACTTCTTGACACTAGAAAAACGAATCAGAAGCATATACATCAAAACATGAATTTAACACGTACGCCGTGAAATCTTCTGCAGGATATACTCCGCGCTGGAATCTAGATCTTATCAGACGATTGTGTAGCTTTATTACGTTCTCATTACCTACAGAATGGTGTTTATAGAGTACTCGAACTGTGCAGCATCAGTATAGTTCGGCATAGCAGGATTCTTGACGAACAAATTCGGCAATGAGCTTCGAAGATCCTAGTATACCGGTTAACGTTGGCAAAGGGTAAAGGAAGTGCTAGAATCGAACCCTTCAACGACAGCTTGTGCACTTTCGATTTGTCTTTCTCGGCAGACATGCTGTTTCAATGTTGATCTCAGACACTTTATGGTCATGGAAGATCATGGTTCGATGTTTATTAATTTTGGTTGATGGAGTAACCCTGTTCGGGCCTAAAGTGCGGAAGTCTAGCCGCTCCGCAGGTTCAAGATTTTTGAGACCTCCCAAACGAGGCAGAAATATCAACTTTCAAACTGCAATGTCCCAGGCTGCTCGAGGTGGGTTGAGAGCGCGAGTATTGTGAACTCATGCGACCATGCCTCCGGCCAATCATTAAGGCTCCAGCTGCTGTCAGACATTCTCTCGTAGGATCGAAGCGCCCTTTTTTGCCATTCAGTTCTTCTTCACCTTTACGCCATGCTTCGTCGTCAAGGAGCGTCGGTAGCCTGGAGAAGAGGATATCTGAGATACCACTGGACCGCTTCCGAAACTTCTGCATTGTCGCCCATGTCGACCATGGCAAGAGCACCCTCAGCGACCGGCTGCTCGAGCTCACGGGCACCATCGAGCCGGGAGGGAAGAAGCAGTTCCTGGACAAGCTCGACGTTGAGCGCGAGCGCGGCATTACGGTGAAGGCGCAAACTTGCAGTATGCTGTACAAATATAAGGGAGAGGACTATCTGCTTCATTTGGTGGACACCCCTGGCCACGTCGATTTTCGGGCGGAGGTGACGAGGTCATATGCTGCTTGTGGGGGAGCTTTGTTGTTGGTAGATGCCAGGTATGTACATCTTGGGATCTGCTGTCAACTATGTTTTGTCGCTTGTTGGGTCGCGAGGTTTTTCGCAAACAAGAAGAGTTGCGACCTCATTGCGCTCGTCGAACCCGTCTTATGACCCCAACCTTGTCTATGGAGAGCAAGGCTGACTCCAAAACCCTTGTTAGTCAAGGTGTTCAAGCCCAGACAGTGGCAAATTTCTACTTGGCATTCTCACAAGGCCTGCATTTGGTGCCTATCATCAATAAGATCGATCTCCAGTCAGCCGAGCCTGAGCGAGCCCTAGAACAGATCCGGGATACGTTTGAGCTTGATCCTGGAAAGGCGGTCTTGGTTTCCGCTAGGACTGGCCTACATGTGGAAAAAATACTTCCCGCTGTCATTGAGCAAATCCCAGCGTGAGTCCAATGTCAGTACTGCATGGAGCAACATCTTACTAATTCTTCCAGACCCACCGGCGACCACCTCAAGCCTCTACGGATGTTGTTGATCGATTCGTGGTATTCTACATTTAGGGGCGTTGTCCTACTTGTCAGACTCTTCGATGGCCAGGTCAAAGCAGGGGATCACGTTGTCTCCCTTGTTACTGGCTTGAAATACATCGTTGGTGAAGTCGGCATCATTTACGGGGAACAGACCCCGCAAACGAAGCTACGGGCCGGCCAGTTGGGCTATATCTTTTTCAATCCAGGGATGAAGCGGAGTTCCGAAGCTAAAGTCGGAGATACGTATACCACTGTTGGTTCGGTGGTATCTCCTTTACCTGGCTTCGAAGAACCAAAAGCAATGGTTTTTGTGGCTGCTTTCCCAACAGATCAGAGCGAATACTCACATCTAGAGGACAGTATCAATCAAATCGTTCTCAACGATCGGAGTGTTTCCATACAGAAGGAGTATTCGGAAGCTCTAGGAGCTGGTTGGCGACTCGGATTTCTGGGAACACTCCACTGCTCAGTGTTCGAGGACAGGCTGCGGCAAGAACACGGCGCAAGTATCATCATTACACCCCCAACGGTGCCATTCAAAGTCATCTGGATCGACGGACAGGAGGAGATTATCCGCAATCCCGCCAACTTCCCAGACACAAGTAGCAATACTGCTCGGGTGGCTGAACTTCAAGAACCCTACGTCTTAGTCACTGTGACCCTCCCGGAAGAGTATTTGGGCAAAGTCATTGAGCTTTGTGAAGGCAACCGGGGTGAGCAGAAGGAGCTTTCGTTTTTTACGACAACGCAAGTCATTTTGAAATACGAACTTCCACTTGCTCACTTGGTCGACGATTTCTTTGGCAAGCTCAAAGGTATTACCAAGGGCTATGCCAGTCTTGATTATGAGGAATCGGCGTGGCGTAAAAGCAATATCATCAAACTCCAACTGCTAGTCAACTCGAAGCCCGTGGATGCTGTCGCTCGCGTTGTTCACACCAGTCAGACCGATAGACTGGGACGACAGTGGGTCGAGAAGTTCAAGAATAACGTGGACCGCCAGATGTTTGAGGTGATCATACAGGCAGCAGCCGGAAGACGGATCGTGGCCAGGGAGACCATCAAGCCTTTCCGGAAGGACGTTTTGGCAAAGCTGCACGCAGCTGATGTGAGCCGGCGAAGGAAGCTCTTGGAGAATCAGAAAGAAGGTAGAAAGAAGCTGAGATGTATGTGGAGTGAGCCCCAGGATCTCAAAGAGTGTTCATGCTAACGGCCATGTGGTATAGCCGTCGGTAACATTACAATTGACTCTAAGGCTTTCCAAGCATTCCTGGCCAAATGAGGACTACCTTCAGATCCGAGGGACTGGAACGGCGGGATCATCATTTGATAACACGGTAGCTTTACTGCAGGGAGCTCGCTGTAATGTCAAGCCACTAGCAGGCTTGACTCTATCAGAACTTACACCTCGTTTGCAGCTGCCTTACGGAAGTCTGTGCGTCAATACTGATAGAGCTAGGATCTCTTTTGAGTCTTTCACTCTTCACCCGTCTGAGCCTGACCCGCAGCCTCGTGAAAGAAGGGGCATGGCGAAGAGCGTCTCTGAAACATACAATCGGAGCCTTTCTTTTTCAGTCAGAGTGATGAATCGAACCAACAGAATCATGCGAATTTTTCGGTTTTGAAGATTAACGCATCGATGAACTGGTTTCGTAGGATAGAGAAATACTGCAAAGTAGAAGACCATCGTAGCATGAGAGAGTATGGGAGGTGAAAAGCCCATCGGAGAACAGGAGGGTATCGTAGAACAATCGAAAAGTATTGTAAGGTCAATGATTACCGCAGGGTAAGAAAGAGGGTACTGCAGGCCAAAAGACCCTATTCAGGAGCGAAGCTGCTTTGCTTCCAGCAGGATTGATCGTCTTTTGATCAATGGGCACCAGCCCGACTATAGGTGTTACTGCTCCGTGTTCGATCTACGCGCGACGAGCTCGACAAGGCTCTTGGCGAGCTGCTAGGATCGGCAATTCGGTTGCGAGTTGTTTTCGAAATTGCAAGTGCGATCAGTGGGACCACGATCGGGGTCAAAGTTCCTATCAGTAGAAGAACCGATTTGCATGATTTGACTTTTGGATTTGCATGGTATTTCAGCTTCTAAGGGTCAGTTTGGCTTCTCGGAGAATTCATTCATTCATTGGGCTGGATATTTTGATATTGCCAAGGGACTAAAGTACTTACTTTACCTTTAAGCGCGCGGCAGCGGGAGGCCGGGTGGGGTTTGGCTTCATGAACCCCACCCCGGCCCGGCCCGGAAATCATGTAGGTAGTCGGAGCCTTTCCTTCTCAGTCAGAGTGACATTCCATCTTCTCGGCGTTTCCAACGCTACCTTCCGTAGCCTTTTCGTTTTCGCTTGGGAAAGACGGGCGATTATTGAATCGTACACGTTTTATAATTGGCAACCCGTATATTTTTTCAGCCAACAGCCGGTGCTGGTGAAGACACACCCCCTCGCAATACACCGGGCTGCCGTGACGTCGGAATACTATCTGCTTTGCGGGTATGATGGCCATGATCGGAGTAACGTCTATATCGTGGGTGAAGAGGGGTTGGTTTCGTGCAAAGGACAGAACTTGGCTACTTGTACCTTATGAAAACAGGACAAGCAGCAGAGGACGTGGATTGCAGAAACGACTTCCACCAATCGACTAATTGCACGTATCACGGCCGTACCGCTCGTAGAATATTTCAAACGCTCCTTTCAAGAAGCCGAACGGGAAAAAGTGCTCTCCTTCGTGACCGTCAAACTCACAGCGTCAATGCTCGGGCCGCCCATGCGATCGAAGATTGCCCCGTCCGCGCTCATCTCCTTGGCGAAGTGGTTGCGCAATTCCACTGCCAGGAGCGAGTCCACGCCGTATGCGTGCAAGGGCTTTGACGTGTCGATATCGTCGCGAGGCATCGATAGCGACCTGGATAGCTTCTGCAGAAGGCAGTCTTTCACGACCTGCCCGGCGTCCTGTTCAGAGGAAGCTTCGCGGAGGGAAGCCGCGTAGTCGACGCTCTGTTCGAAAGACGAGGTATCTTGCTTGCCCAGGCCCGTTTGGTGTAGATGCCGGAAGGTCCTTCTCTGCATCCAGTGAGGTTCCTTCAGGCCCCTGACTTGCAGTGTAGCCGGTGTCTCAAGACCGATGACCCCCTGTGTGGCTGATGCTGACGTGGTGTCCAAGTTGGGGTTGCAATAATGATCTAGCAACGCGGAAAACTCCGCCTGAGAAATAGGCATGAACAAGCCTCCAGCGGCCATGCTTGTGGAAAGAAACAAAATCTCCGCTACGGCACCCTCGGATTCCATCCAGCCAAGGTCTAGGCTCGTTGCTTTCTCGCCCCGCGCTACACGATAATGGGCAAGACTGTCCATGTATGTATTGCCAGCGGCATAATTGGCCTGGCCACCGGATCCCACTACGCCCGCGATCGATGAGAGGCAGAGGAAGAAGTCCATGCCTTGAGGGAGGAGGGAATGGGGATTCCAAGAGCCTTGAACTTTAGGCGCAACGCTCGTTGTCCAGTCTTCGGATGTCATTGTTTCAAGGACGGCGTCCTTCCGGATTGTCAGCACAGAATGATGTTGAAGAGCAAACAGCGACACACCTTCAAAACCATAGACCCCTGAATGACACCTTTGATGGGCGGTAAGGTCGCCGCACGTTTGTCTAATGTAGACTCAAGCATGTCCGCCTTGGTTACATCGCACGGTGGTGCTTCCACATGAGCACCCTTAGCTTTGAGCTCTTCGATCAGTCCAATTGCAGCATGTGATTGAGCTCCTGAGCGAGAAAGCAGAATGAGATTCTTCGCGCCCCGGCTCACCAGCCACCTTGCAGTGCTTCTACCTAGACCTCCCAGGCCTCCGGCAGTTAGATATGACGAGTGTTCATCGAAATATAATCGGATTTGGTCTCAATTACAGTCTAACGTCACCATATCAATCAAGAGCCCGTCAAGCTGTATGGAGACGGTGTGTATACGAACAGGGACTTTGTCATGCTTCCTCATTTCCATGACCATTTTGCCAGAATTGCTTCCATTTTGGAAGGAACGGAAAGCAGTCTCAATTTCAGAGATTCCAAAGACTCGCAATGGTTGCGGACCATGCAATTTCTTCTCTTTGATCAAACAATTCTCGTCCCAATGACCGTCGTTGTTGATGTACAATAGCAAGTCTGACGTTACAGAATCTTTCTTAAATCAATCTTCCTCGGTTCGGAGGCAAAGTTGTACTTCTACTCCGTTGGGACCTGGCGCTATAGGCAGAGGGTTGTGGAAAGTTGCATCTTTGATTGTGTATCCAGCTACACGCCGCTTCTCTTTGGCAGGTTGTTTACAAGCTTCCAGAGCCATGACCAGCATTCCTGCCGTGGGGTACTAGTACGCAGCAGAGCCGTTAACCTGATTCACAGAGTCAGCTCAGATGTTTTCGAACGGGGAGACTCCCAGACCTTGTGGTCCTCGATCCATGGCGTCTCAGAGATTCGAATGATCTTTCGCCATCTTGCGCCCAAAGGATTCCAATCTGAAACAGGAGTTCCAAGTAGGTCTAGGCGAAGGTTGTTGCGAAATCTCGAGCCATCTTTGTTGTATCTGCTGTCGTGCCAGTAACTTCGTGAGTGATCGAAAGGGTATTCGGGAAGATTGGGCAGCACCATCTGAATTGCAGGTTTCATACCTGACTTGTTGACCTCAGAGATATCGACTGGATAGCCAAAGCAGGTTAAACGATCAACTGCGTCAAGCAAAGTATCCAATGCTGAGACAGATCGGACCATGACCGAGTCATAGCTGATACCGTCTTTGTCGATTCCCCTCAAGATGTCCTTGGTGGGACCTTGCATGGCGCTATGTGGCCCAATCTCTACAAGTTTGTTTACTTCTACTAAAGTTCGATCGTCTCCAATTTTGCCTCTGAGTTCTTTTCAGAACACATTTGCGCTAATGCATCCGAGAACATGACTGGCGAGGTCAAATTTTTAACCCAGTAACCGCTCTGCTGGATCTCGTTGGCTAGCGTGTAGGCCAAGTTCGAAAGAAATGCTGTTGCTTCCGTGGGGCTCAAGGACGAAGTCAACTCTGATATGTGCGCATCATATGAATCTGCAAGACGTGCCAAGCCACCTTCATCTGTCGTAGATCAAATTAGTAATCTTGGCCTCATAGCCTCACCTTCTCCATTCACTGGTTGTTGGGACAAGTTTCCAGAAAGTGAGAGTAGCTTGGAAGGCTCCGGACCCTGCTCCAAGTACTCAAGAGTAGGAGGCCCACGCACTGTCCAATGGTTTCCAGCAAGATTGCTGAGACGTAAGTAACTGTACGCATCATCATTGATAGCATGACTGTTGGATCCCCCGAATCCGAACGAAGATATTGAAGCTCTGCGAAGTCCTCTGCATGGCCAAGGGGTGCTGTGTACAGGGAACTAGAAGACGATCAAAACGAAACATGAAGCACATTCAGCGTCGAGGCTCATACCTTCAGCCTCAGATAATCCGCATCAATATCCGGGTTCAGATGTTCAATATTAACATTAGGGGGAATAACACCGGTTTCTAAAATCAGGATCGCCTTGATGACACCGGCGACTCCACTTGCACCTTCAAGATGACCTATGTTGGATTTCATAGCACCGCTGAAAAGATTAGTTGGATTTCCTAGGCAAAGTCTGCTTAAACATCCGAGACACGGAAGCATAGATGACAAACGTACATGTACATTGGCTCTTCAGCGCTAGGATATTTTCTGAATGCCAGCCCGATTGCGCTGGCCTCAATTGGGTCACCAATCTAAATTCAGGTGTAAGCATCAAGCCGGATACAGCCAGTTTTCGGGTGTCTTACTGCTGTTCCGGTACCATGCGCTTCGACGTATCTTGTAGTCTGCATGTCCAGCCCAGCCTTTGCGTACGTTTCGTTGATCAAAACTTCCTGGGCATCACGATTCGGTTGTGTGATGCCTGGAGTACGGCCATCCTGGTTTGATCCTGTAGATCGAATGGCTGCGGATGGTGTCTCCATCTCTGACCGCGTCAGTCAATCGCTTGAGAACGACAACCCCAAAACCTTCGCCTCTCCCATAGCCGTTGCCTCGATAATCGAAGCTGAAGCTCCGACTATCATGGGAAATGAAGTTCATATTCGACAGCATTTATGAAATTCGAGAGAAGTGAGTAGGTTGCCGCCGCCAACGAGGGCCTATAACAGCAAATGAGCAAAGCAAAGCAGATCCCTCGAAGAGCTGACCTACCATATTTGAGTCTCTGTTGCGTAATCCCTGACATGGGAGGTCAAGAGCCATCATGCTGCTGGAGCAGGCAGAATCCAAATTCACACATGGGCCGGTGAGATTGAAGAACCAACTTAGCCGGGCAGCGAGCATGGCGACCGCGATCCAGGTGGCACTGTATGTCGGAAGCATGTCAGGATCTTTGAAAATTCCTAATCTGCAGTCGTCTGCCAAGCAACCGGTGTAAACCGAGGTTTTTGAGTTCGACGCCTTCTCCATAGATATGCCTGCTGATGATAATTAGCAAAGCCCATATTGCTCAAAGATCGGAAAACACCCACCATTCTCGAAGGCTCTGTAGGCAGTCTCAAGAAGCAGGCGATGCTGTGGGTCAATGGCTGCAGCCTCGGTCGGTGTTATGGAAAAGAACGGCGCATCGAAATTGCCAAGAGGCTCTTCCAGAAAATGACCGCCTTTGGAAGGAATCTGGTCAAGCAGAGATCAGAGATGGTAATGTGGCATGAGCGATGAGCATAACAATACCGTATCCGGTCTACTACTATCTGGATGATAGAAGGCATTCAGGTTAAGTCTTTCTTTGAGCCACTCAGTCATGGAGCATCTCTTTTCCATCAGCATCTTTTAGAACACTTCAGGTGAGGTGGCATCTTGCGGGAACTTGAGAGAAAAAGCAATGACAGCAATAGGCTCAAGCCGAGGTTGATCGACCCCATCTAGGTCAGTGATGAAAGTTGCGTTGTCCTGAACCGGATGTTGAGGACTATTGACATGATCACTATTACCGCCGTGTATGCCGTTAATAGAACCATGAGCACCGCTGTGAACGCCGTTAACAGTACCATTGGTACCACCGTCATTGCCGTTGACAAGACCACCAGTACCACCGTGAACGCCGTTGACAATTTTATGTACTGGCGTCATGATTGCAAAGCCCAACAGAATATACGACGAGAACAAGATTGTCAAAGGATTTCAATTAATTTGGATAAGTCAGAGGCGGTCGAACACTTGGCGGGCAACGGAGGAATACGTGATGACGCTGGGAGAAAAGGTCTATATGTAGAGCTGCCGACGCTGGAGACACCATAGAGTAAGCTACCTTGTAGTATGCAGGTCTCGATGCTAATTTTCCAATCATGGTGGCATAGCCCTGGCGATCACGGACCCGCTTGACGCCGCAAGGTTCTGTGTCCCATATTCTTCGATGCTCTTTCAGCATCTGGGTCGTGTGGCTCACGCCAAGTCAAAGACTATTCGAACTCAAGCCAGATCGCGGGACAGGAGCGAGCTTCGAACAATTCTCATTGGCCGGAGTTGCAGAGCCGGCGGATTAGCACCTGTTCGCGGTATCTAGACGCCATTTAAACCTTGTCCAAAGCGCACGATATCAATGACAATGATACTGGCGCCATGAGCACGGAGTGAATTCAATCTGGGGGGACGCTAGGTTGAGTCGTAGTGCAGCCCGTGCTGGGACCAAGATCAGGGGCCAGGATCTAGGACAACGGATAGATCAGCGTGGTAGCCGTCTGATGAGATTGAGATATCTAGAGCTGTCTCGCTAAAGTGATGTAGTTGTAGAACGGGAGTTGAGCAGAGCATTGACCGCTTGGCAATATGACAATTACCGTTACTCTGTCACTCTGGTAGTCCCAGGTCTAGCCTGGTGCAGACAGCTGTCATATTAGCAGTCGTATCATTACCGGAACAGGACAACCGTCCATGTCAGATTGAGTTCGATAGAAGCAGCCACCTAACGGGGATCCTCGTCGACAGAGCGAGCTCAGTAGCCAGGCAAAAGCCCGACAGAGAAATCTGGTTGACAGGCCCGCCTCGCCGGAACAAGCACAAGCTAAGGGCAGGGATCAGGTTATGGCAATTCGATCTTGTAGCATCAAGGCATATTACTAAGACATATGCTATCCAAATAAGGAGTAGTAGAAGGCCTTGTTGACGGAGTTTTGATTTGCGTGCGCGTCAACGTACATTGCCATCCAGCCGTTGACGGTTTTTAGCTAGTAAAAGACGGGGTAACAGGAAAGTTGAGGAGTACTGTACCTCTGTACCTAGCCAGTGGGATTAAGCTTCGAGATCTGTCAACAGTCAACAGAAGAGCAGGAGGGTCGTGCATTCCTAATCCCGGGCAAATTCCCCGAGTTCTAACTTCTAACCACCACAAGCTATCTTCTTCTTAACGTGCATCGTTGTCAAGCTATACCACGGAAACATGTTGCACCTTAGCCAGGCGTGAGACGGTAGCGTAAGTAATCGGCTGGTTAGTCTCGTTAGTGAGCATTATCTTGAGAGACTTCAGGATCTTTTCCCACCTTCTTGATGCTGAGGAAGGAATAGGCGAGGAAGTACTGTGACGTGTAGTCATCCCACGGTACTACAGCCCACATAACGGACGCTAAGAATTTGGAGGCTTGCTGACTACATCTTACGTGCATGAATGTTTGTTACATGTTGAGGCTGACAATGTGTACAGCACAACCAGCTTGCCTCTATGAACATTAAACTGGTAGCCATGCGTTGCTCTCTAGTCGACCTATCCGATGAACTTCATCTTAACATCATCCAAGAGCTTCTCAAGCATGACGACTTCCTCCACGAGGAGTCGTTGAAGCCGGATCCCAAAAGGTACAACCAAGAGTGGGACGACGACTTCCAGTACCATCGCGATCTGATGAGTTGGAGCTCCACGTCGCTGTACTTTCGAAATCTGCTTGCCCCGTACATCTTCAAGAGTATCAAGCTGCGCAATGATGTGAAGAGCGGCGCTTCCGTGGACGCCGTTCTGAAAAGTCCACATGGTGCTCTCGTGAAGGGAATTTACTTTCTCGGCACTATTCCACCGGACATAGATGACCTAGACGACGATGAGGACGATGATCCTTTGGCCGAGGGATCCTATAAAGAATCCGACGATGCCGAAGGAGAGGAAAGGCCAATCATTATCACATTCCCCCCTGTCGTCAATGACCTCCTATCAGATCTGCATCAATTCCCCAATCTCGAGTCTCTAAGCATAGGCTTCACCTATCCCTACGACGACCCCTTCGACGAATACTACGAGACCGAGGGAATCATGGTCAACGAAAACCCCACGGCAGCGCGCGCCCGGAAGGCGCTGATGACGACAACGTACGAGACGCTGTTACGCAGCAAACCACCACAGCTGAGGGCGGTGGAAATCAGGAAATTTGTATGGACGTTCACTGAACCGTATGAAAGCCAGGGCTTCCAAAAGTTCCTGAGCCATGTCGAGCACTTTCGCCTTTCTGTGAGAGGGGGGAACAACGGTGCGTGCTGGTGCGTGAACACGTGCGATGGGTACCTGGAGTCCGTCGCGAGGTTCGACGAGCTGTTCTTCGACCACCTGGCGTCGGCGACGAGTCTGACACTCAGGGCCACGGACGAAGGGCCCATCGGGTTGGAAGGGATGCGACACGCACGCCTCGCGCTGACAAAGGAGCAAATGCCGCTGCTCCAGTCCCTGCATCTGGAGCACATCTTCATCTGCCAAGAGCTCGTCGATTTCGTCCTCGGCCACACCGACACCCTGGAGCGGCTCACCCTGCACGACTGCCACAGCAGCGTCAACGGCTTACAGGACAACGACGGCTTCTACTGGGCCCACTTCTTCGAGACCCTGCACGGGGCAGATCTGAAGAAGTTATCCCACCTCGAGATATGCCCCGATGACGCGCCGTTGACGTTCGAGCCCGACAGCCTCCAAAAGGAGCCGGTGTGCCCGGGCGACGTGCGGCAGATAAGACGGGTGCCGAGCGACGTTGCGAAACGACGCGTGTTCGGGTACGCGATGCTGGACGATAAGTATGGCGAGTGCAACGACGACTACGAGGAGAATCGGGCTGCGTTTGAGCGGGGAGAGGACCAGGCGGCTTTTGACAGGTTGATGAGCAATGTCAATGCCAACGCTGCAAATCGGGGAGGAAAAATTACCGATTGGCAGGTAGCGACTTAGCCTAGTCTAGCAATCCGAATGCATTCGTGACAACTAACCTCATCGGCTCTATGCTTACATGGTAGTAATGGCCACGGCACCTGCAGCGTCGGCAACGTCTGCAATGAACATCAAGTAAGATACAGCAGTACCTACTGTATCATCCCAGCGCACTGGCCACCGGCACGGTTTGATCCAATCTAATCTAATCAAATCAAACATGCTTACATCAACTCCGATCTGCGCAGTTCGATTGGTGGGTATGTACTCCACAACCCGCCGCGCACGGAAAGTACTCGTACATTCGAGAAGTGAGCTACCTCGCTTAGTAGTGGCGGGAGAACCCCCTAAGAGCTTTGGCTGAGTGCCAAGACCCTAAATATTAGCGTCGTAGCTCACTTCTCGAATGTACGAGTCGTAGGTAGGTAGGTACTCAAGGAAGATAAACCACACTACTTATACTTCTAGCCTACCTCGGTCCGGCCGCGGATTCTAGCCTCGACGCTAAAGTAACGCGGGACCGGACTCACAGAGGCGGTCTCGACTTCTCGAACTTTGGCGGAGTAAAGTAAAAGTAGGGAGCTTGTACTGTCTTGGCGGACGGCATATCGCTAGCAGCCACAGTAAGGACACGCACCGTTTACAGACGAAGCCGGTGTTTGAGTTTGGCATTTGCTCCGGAACAGCGTCGAGTAGAGTACGATGTCGGTTGGAGGATTATCATTAAATTTGGTTGCGAGAGAGCTTCGGTATGTGTTCTGGTGGAGAAGATTGGCAGTTGTAAACGGAGGATCTTCCCATAGATACTGCCGTGGTGTTGCTCGTATAGATAGGCCTGTCTCACTGCCATTTCTAAGCAGGGCCGGGTGCCTCCATTCCCAAGGCACTTGAAGCTCCATCATCAACCATTTCGGAAGGGACATGAGTGACACTTGTCGCCGGGAGCATCTAGAATACAGGCCACGATCCGCTTGCCGACGTGTCGTGGTCTCTGCCGTGTTGCCGTAATCAACTGGCTTCAATCGATTCGCAAGCTTTCTGCAGTTGCTGGGACAATTTGGGAATCTGTATCGGTTTGGCATGGCCGATCAGCTTATAGTCTACCATTGCTTGTAAGTGACAGCTAGAGCCTTGGGGGCTTTAAGAGGACCTGACGGGGACTTACGTTCTGAGGCGCAAAAGCTTCAAAGTGGTTGCCTGGTATGTCTAGTACCTGAATGCTCTGCCCCACGAGCTTCTCCCCTGCGACGACAGCCTCTGATCGCGCTCTTTGGTCACTGATCCATGGATACCGGACACCGCACAACTTTTCGCCGTTTAGAGTCTCGCGACTCCGCAGCATGATGACCTTGGCATACGCAACACTTGTCCGCGGCATCTTGTACTTTCCCAGCAACGCTGCATTGCTCTGGAACTGGGCCGACACGCGCTGTCTAGATGCATTTCCAGAGTCATTCGTCGATCCCGCTCTCGTGACATGGGCAATGATGGCGTTCGGGAGCGGCTTGTGATCGAATAGGTAAGGGGAATCGATCAAAACAACGCCTTTGACCTGCTTGCCCTCCTAGAAGAACTGCCGCGCCAGCTTAAACGCCACGACGCCCCCAAAGGAGTACCCTAGTAAAAGTAAAACTGTAAGCATCAACAGCCTTGGCAGGATACTTAAATCACAGGTGGGAGAACTTGTGGGGAAGCTACAAGGGAGCGATGTAGACTGGAGTGCAAGCTACTGACCTCCAAGAATGACGGGACGTTTTGCTGAGGCGTCTATATGTGGTGCGTAACGTGCCGCCATGAGAACCAAATTGGAAGGTTGATCGTCGGCTTCGAAGAAACCAGGGTTAGAGAAACCATGCGTATCGCGTCCTATGTCGTGCATTTCGGAGTACATTTTACAAAGACCGCTGCCATCATGGAAAAGATAGAGCGAAGCACTTGTGGAGTCGCCTTACTCAAGTGAGACCGGTGAGCCGTCCATTTTCAGCTCTTGGGCTCTTGGGCCTTTCGGGCTTTAGCCCTTTGGTTCCTTTTCTGTCTTTCCCAAGCCGCTGATATCCGAACTCGGATCAGTAGTTGCAGTTGAGCTCGTGTCGTCCGGCGTCTGAGGAGGAGGCGTGCTGCAAGCAGATCGAATGGCGCTCTCAAGATCATGTAGGCTTGAGCAATGCATCAATGCCGACTCTTCTACTGACCGACCGGGAAACCCTTTTTGACAGCAGAAACAAACTCTAGTATCATCAACGAGTCCACGCCCAAAGTCTTGAGATCTTTCTTCTTATTAGCGTTCACCTCAGCCTCCGGTAACTCACAGGAGTCCATGATAATACGGGTGATTTTAGCCTTGATGTTTTGCTGTCGCAAAATACCGTCTTCGGGTACTGATGGACTCTTGAATCGGTGGCGAATCGGACGAATCAGGAAGAACTTCAGCAGCTGAGGGTATTTTTCCGACTTTGGATTTCCCGATGATGCGTTCGAGCACTGCCTTGAATGATGATAGGATAAGTTTTTTGAAATGCATACCTTCAACGGCCGCGATGATTCTGCCAGTCGAATCCAACGCATAGGTATCGGCTAATACTATGCCTTCATCGATGTCAAAGAGGCTGCGATAAACAGTCATAGGCTCGTCGTAATCAATTTCCCATAGAGTAGCCGGACAGACTGAACTTCCTCACAGATACAGGCATCGGTCACACGGATGCTGGTGTTCGCAACAAATCCTGCCGCGTACAACAAGGTGTCAGTAAAGGTGGGCAAGGTGATTCCTTTTTCTGTCTTGGAACGGCTAGATATCTTGAACGATCCATAAGCTTCACCACTGGATTCCGAAACGCTGATGGACGCTAATGTTTGATACTCTTCGGAGTGTTCGATGACACGGGAGAAAATCGTTTCGTAGAGCATTTTCCTTTGGAAATGGTCTTAGTTTCTCGCCCTTGTCGGCGAACAGATGGGCCTTTTGTCTCCTCACCAGGGCACCTCCGCGGACCCAATTCGTTGTGATGTTCGAAACATTCTCTGCAGAAACGGTCCCGGAGCAATGAAGGGTCTCTGGCCTCGAGCCATAACTTTGGGATAAGACTGTGAAACTCAAGTCCGACGTCGAAAGGATTTCGTTCAAAATCACATGAATGGGTTGATCAAATCAGGTCCTGGTCCGGACAAGGTAATGCACACATCGCCCGATATCACTGCAATATTGAGTGATTTACAGCCAGACTATTATCTGTGTAAGTAGCTTTTCTTCGACAGCATCATCCGGACACTAACTTCGTTCCTGAATTTTCGCAGCTGCGACAACATTTGATCCTTGCCTAGACTAAATACAACCAAAGACCACGGATGATCTTTCCAAGAGCGGCCTAATAATCGCTCGCAATAGACGGCGCTTTGAAAGCCAGTTCAGAAAGCTAACCGAAACGCATCCACACCATGGTCGATAGATTCTTGTATGGAAGGTGACGAAGCCACCACAGCTGCTGATAGAATGCCGGAGCGAAATCCGGCCGTCTCCACGATCTGTCCAAAAGCAGGTTCAAGCTTCAACCCGCATTCTTCCAAGTTCGAGAGATACCTTAAAAGCTGGTGGAGGCAGATCGAAGTCCCCTGAATGATTGGATTGTCATGATATACAACATCTGGAGCTAGAAGATTTTCAGGAGGGAACAAGAGGTCGGCTTCGTGCCCGAATAGTCGAGACTCGGCGGCACCAAGGGTCTGCACGTCTTCGAGAAAGACGGCATGGCATTGGAGAGAAGGATCGCAGCAGCCGGGCTCGATTTCACGTCATGGAATGCTGTGGATGTGCCTTGTGGGCAGAACAGATCCTTGAGTGATCCCTGACCACCAAAGAGTAATATTTTATTGGCGTTGGCCATAATACTGTTTGGCCCCAAATCACGAGAGGCACTACGGGAATTTTAGATATGTGACCATCTACCAAGACCTGGAAGTTGATGGGAGCGTGGGATTAGACCAGTCGAGTCGCAGGCACAACTTGCGGAAATACCTCTTTGGAGGAGTATGCGCGCCTGATGTGAAAAGGACCGGAGTACATCTAAAAGAGCTGACTGCGTAGGTGAGACAACAATGGCAAAAACGGTCTTACAGTTACTCGGTACGATGCAATTGAGGTCTCCCTTTCCGTTGACCAAGTTGTTGTCAGATGGTGGCGGAGGCCCGTCTGCCATCACCTCTGCCTGAACGGTGTCAAAGTATTCCTTGCGGTACCAATCGCTCACAGCGACCGGGTCAACATCTATGTTGTAATGTGCGTTGGAAGGTCCATATATGATCGTAGCTGTTTCTTGTCAGGGGAATTCCACCATTAAGTGTTCGGTGCCGGCTTACGTCCAGCAATGCCCGCAGCATATTGCGCGGAGTATTGGCTGTGATACCACGAAGTACCGTACAAGTCTGCCTTGAAAGTGTAGATGAAACTTTTACCAGGCGCAATAGGGCATTGACCGACAGACGGTACTCCATAATACTGGGTTTCTTTTTGCAGTAATCTAAGTGAATCATGATTAAAACTTTTCCACCGCAAGAGCACTGTACAATTTACCCATGCCGAGATGACAGTTAGCAAAGCACATCATGCATGCATATATTCGTCACCTACCAGTGCAAACTTGTTCCTTATTCGGGATCAGAGATTTAATTATTCACGGTGAAATTGAATCAGTCGCCCTGAAAGTTGTCACATTTTAGCGCTTCACTTGAAAGCTTCCGAAAGAAGTACCCAATTCGCTTCGAGCATCGGCTATTGTTCACATTAGCCGAACTTTTTATTTCAGCCAGAGCATAATTAGACTTACACCAGGATAAGCTCCGTTGATAATAATCATGCTCTGTCTAATACCATCAGGAGCGAGGAATGCACGCTCGATAGTGAGGTTGTAATTCTTATATACACCTGCGCAATGTCAACTCTGCAAGAAAGTGATTGATGGTTCATAGGACCAACCAGTGTCTGGCGATCTCTCGTAAGGATTGGTGTTATTTGAGTCCATAGTATTCTAAGGGAAGCCATTGGGCAGGGACTATGCAGAAGTCTAGTCTCCAAGGTTCAGACGAGAAAGATAGTTGATTCTACGTTGTCTGTCAGAAATACTGGGAGTATAGGTCCCAAAGAGGTTCCGAGCGATGAGTTGCCTATGCAATTCTTCATCAGCGCTCAGAGACGAGGAATGGGCTATCTCAATTCTACCGTTCGTCTGCTGTTGAGCAAGTCCCGCTACAAATGTGCCGGCGTCAAAAATGACCAGGTGTGTAACCAAGGTACGAGCTCTGTGGAAGAGCATAATACCAACCTATTCAAGAAGAGGTATAGAAGGGAAAAAGAAGGGAAAAAGAACAAAACAATCTATAGTATGCGCAATGAAGCGAGAGTTTCAGGAGAAGAAACGACCGCAATTCGTTTTCAGAGGTAAGAGAATGCGTAAGAGTGTAGAGGAAGACGAAAGAGTGCACATGACAATACATATACTAAGAGACAAGGATTAATACATCGTCCAAGGCGTTGATGCTGCCTGCGGAACGATAGAGACGGCACTGCATGGAGCACGGCCTCATATAGAATCAGCTGAGATAACCCCAAGGTAAGATCTTACCATAGTTGAGGTAGGATGGTCGAACGAATTGGCCATGATGAACGGGCCAAGTAGTCCCGGGAATAGAGATTGACCATCTGAGGCTACAGAACAGTGGTCTTAGTATAGATGACAGCATCAAGATTGCCATCTGACCCATGAAATACCCTGCGTCTCACATGGCAATCCATCCCACATGGCAAACTAGGATGCCGACTTCGGGAAAAAAAGGCACATGTCAGGTCCCAACGAGCCGCCTCGTGGAAGAAGAGATCTGATTGATGGAAATCAACCGAAGATCGGCTGATAGGCGTTGAGCAATCATTCATTGAGGCAGACATCTTACCCAGCTGAAAGCTCAGCCAAAGACACCAAGTTGCAATGAGTGCTCAGTTCGGATTTGACTTGCCACGCTGGATGTTACACACCCTGAGCGAGTCTCCGTGAAAAAAAATCTGTTCCACCTTGGGTACGCTGAAAGACGGCTCTATGAGATATGGAAGCAGCGTCGTAGAAATGGCTGACTGTCATCTGGTTCCTACCAATCCTGCTGCCCATCCTCTCATTCGTCATGTTGCCGAGTCCTGCCTTCAGAGGCGGGCAGTCAAGCAGCAACATTCACACACTCTCTCGCGCTTTCTTCGCTCCCTTGGATCCGCTGATAGGCGCAAAACCCTCCATTTTTGATAGCATCTAATGACAGTCGGGTTGAAGCTTTAACAACCCTGACGGTCTCGGTACTCGGCTTTTGTTTTGACTTAAGCTAGCTCTCAATTTTAAGGAACCAATCGGAGCAATCTCTTAAGAACAGGCGAGTCCCACCCTGATATCTTAGCCTAAATACGGGCCCTAAGAGACGGGAGTGCGGGTTCAGCCTTATGAGTTTACTTGACGACCACTACTTTATCTTCACGCTCACTGTTACATCCCTTCTATGCACAGGTTGGCCATTGGGCTTAGGGAGGGGGATCATCTTCAGTCATTCTGAACACGAAAGGGATCTGTTGCGGAGATGAAGCCGAGAATCCATGCTCACTCATAGGTCAAAAAGATGTCCAACCAATCAATGACGATGGCAAACATGGTATTTTGGAAATCACATATGGAGGTGTGGAGATATGGAGATATTGATGTTAACTGCGCTTCATTGCTCGCATCGGCCTTTGACAGATCGGAGATATCACCACCTGCAGTTATTAATGCGGTTTCACCTGGTCTGATGGCATGCCACGCGACTTTATAAAAATGTCATTTTCCTCTATACTGTCCTCATCAAGTTTTTTGATTCCTCCTACAATTGACCATTCGCATACCACAACATACTTGGACAAACACATCTCCTATCACCCCAAATTCATACCAGTCCACTTCTCATCTTTCCAACGATTAGCCCCACCATGCCTACTGTCCTCATCCTTGGCGCCACTGGCTACCTTGGCCTCCCTCTCGCCAAGTCTCTCTTCCGCTCTGCAACTACACCATTTACGGTCTCGCCCGCACCCCTGCCAAAGCCAAAACCCTCGTCCAGAACGTGGTCATCCCCGTCATCGGCGATGTCAGCGATCCGAGCAGCTCCACCCATCTTATCTCCCCCGTACCCATCGATGTCGTGATTGACTCCACCTCGGCCTATGAAGGGGCTTCCGGCATCCTCAACGCCGTCTCGGCGGCCTCCAAGTCTCGCATGGTCGGTATGAGCGCGTGGGTTACGCACAGAGACAAGGAGACGTTTGTGGAGGATTGCGATGACTGGAGGCCCGAGAGATGGCTTTGCGACCCGGAAAAGATGAAGAGAATGGAAGGCGCGCTGCTTACGGTTGGTCATACTTTTCCCTACCGGCGGAATCCGTCAATTCTCTCCTTCCATTGTCTCCTTGCTGCCTGCTATGAGAACTCAAGGAGCACACAATGCTGATGTTCCACTTCCTCAATACTTTGCAGTTCGGTGCCGGTCATAGGTCATGTCATGTTTGGGGAAGAACATCTCCCTTCTGGAGATATACAAAGTGGTGCCGACGTTATTGAGACGTTTCAATGTGAGTAACCACTCTAGAGAGGCTATACTAGAGGGCGGACTAGTACACCGAGCTGACTGGGAATAAGTAACCATCAGTTCGAGCTGCTTGGATCAGAGGAAGGTGAAGGGTTGGAGGTACAGAATCGATGGTTCGTTCTGCAATTTGGCTTCAAGGTACGATTGAGAAAAAGACTGTAGAAAGCAAGAGGATGCTTGAGTGAATGGAGGAATTGACGGTGGTTGGATGGGTCCCTAGGCTGTTGTCCCGCGCATAGAAGACCTAGGGTGAGCGAAGTAATGAAGATGCCTACGGCCGGCTTTTTAGGGGTCAGAGGTTCTCGTCAGCGGTATTCGGATGAAGGGATTAATTATGGCTCGATTCTTGTGCAACATGAGCAGGAACCCGACGGCTTGACGATCTCATGACCAGAAATACGATTTTGGCTTCTTTCTTGGTATGCGTAATAAGTGGAATAACACTAGCTTTGGTGTACCTTACCAACACATCTTTCATGGTTAGGTTACGCAACTTCGCTTTTACCACAACTAAAATCGGTTTGATTTAATCCGGATCCGACGTTCGATGTTTGTTGTAAAAGTACTCTATAGCTGGTACGGAGCTGGCGTTGCTTTGAGGCCTGGTGAGGCCCCCCTGTGAATAAGGGTCCCGGTAAATAATTCTCCCGCACTCCGTAGAGTAGCCAAAACCAAAAGCTGGGGAGCCGAGGGTTAGGGCACGCAGATCGTTTTGCAGGGATGGTCCCCACTACCGCCAAAACTTGTTGCTGTGACTCGAAGCTCAAAATACATTCGTACCATCGGGATCATTGCAACGCCACACATACCTGGAAATACCGGCGCTCTGAGCAACACTGATGTATATTCACGCTCATCCCAAGTCCCCGCCTTGGCACAACCGTGGGTAGTCATTGACTTTTATCATGGCTACTGCCACTGAGTCAGTGAAGGAGCAGTTGGTGGATACACTGCCCAAACGAATCAAGGAGCTCAGATTTGGAGTCGCGTGAGCTGCCAAACTCAACAGGTAATTTCGATGCTAAGACATCTCCTAGTTCAAGCCAAGACATAGTCAACCAAGGTGTCGTCGAAGTATGTGATCGAGCGCTGTATGATCTAGCTCGAGAAAGAGCCCCTGCGACGAATGGCCCCCTCGATCCTCTTATGGGCATATCTGGCAAGGTTGGATGCTGTCAAACATGTGGAGAGCCCATGCAAAAATGCAATGGTCACTTCGGATATGTCAAGCTCGCACTTCCAGCCCTGCACATCGGCTATCTCAAAAAAATCATCACTGTTCTACAAAACATCTGCAAAGTATATGTCCAGCCCAGAACGAAAGATGTGATGACTGATAGATAGTAGGGGTGCGCCCGAACGCTTCTTACTGAGAAGGACCGCCGAGCTTTCCTTCGGGACCTGCGGAGACCCAATATCGACAATCTACGGAAGAGTCAGATTTGCAAGAAAGTCAATGAGCAATGCCGGAAGACCAGATCCTGTTATTATTGCGATGAGATCAATGGACGGGTCAAGAAGGCTGGGACTCATCCCTTGAGGATAATCCACGAACAATTCAGCTACTTCGACAATTCCAAAGCGCAGAAGAAGATACCGCCACCTGCTAAGATTGCATTTGACAAATCATTCGAAGCTGCTCGAAAAGTAGCCGAGGGCGTGGGGAGGAATTTTATGAAAGCTGCAGATGATCTCAATCCTCTGCGGGTCCTCAATCTTTTCAAGAAGATCAGTGCATCAGATTGCGAGCTTTTAGGTATGGACCCTGCAGAAGGCAGACCCGAAATGTTCATATGGCAATACTTTCCCACTTCGCCCGTCTGTATCAGGCCTTCAGTCCCACAAGATGGCGCTACAACAGAGGACGACCTCACATCCAAAATATCTGATATCGTACACATCAATACACTCCTTGGCGAGGGGATTGTGACGGGTCAGCCAGTGGGAACGATCATGGAGCAGTGGGACTTTCTGCAACTCCAACTCGCGATGATAGTCAACAGCGACGCTCCCGGCGTTCAGCCCCCACATAGCTATGCAGTGCCAATTCGAGGTTTCTGCCAACGGCTAAAAGGCAAGCAAGGTCGATTTCGAGGAAACTTATCTGGCAAGCGTGTGGACTTTTCCGGTCGTACAGTCATTTCGCCAGACCCAAATCTTGGGATCGATGAGGTTGCTATCCCTGAGCTTGTCGCGAAGAACCTTACATATCCCGAGAAGACATCCCGGTACAACATATTGAAACTGCGAGAGCGCGTGAGGAATGGGCCAAACAAGTGGCCTGGAGCCAACTACATCTGGAAGAAGGACACAGACATCAAACAGTACTTGAAGTACGGTAGACTGAATGTCCATGCAGAAAATCTCAAGATAGGCGATATCGTCGAGCGGCACCTCATAGACGGTGATATTGTACTGTTCAACCGCCAGCCTTCTCTGCACAAGCTCAGCATACTCAGCCATTATGTGAAGGTCAGACCACATCGGACGTTTCGCCTCAACGAGTGCGTATGCAATCCGTACAACGCGGATTTTGACGGAGACGAGATGAACTTGCATGTACCGCAGACGGAAGAAGCTCGTACGGAGGCCATCGAATTGATGGGAGTCAAGCATAACCTAGCAACACCCAAGAATGGAGAACCTATCATTTCTGCTATTCAAGATTTCATCACTGCTTCGTATTTGCTCAGCAACAAGGACAACTTCTACGACCGAAAATCGTTCTCGAACATTTGCTTGTACATGGTTGAGGGAAACATGCAAATTGACTTGCCTCCACCAACTATTCTGAAACCGGTAATGCTCTGGACTGGAAAACAGGTCTTCAATGTGATGATGCGCCCAAGCAAGGACTGCAAAGTCCGAGTGAACTTGGATGCAGCGTGTCGACAGTTCCGGGTAACGCCTGGGGTAGCTCGCGACCTGAATGAGAACGATAGCTGGCTTTGCATACGCAACTCGGAGATCATGTGTGGGGTTATGGATAAATCGACTATTGGCTCAGGGAAGAAGGATTCAGTCTTCTATGTGATAATGAGAGACTTTGGCCCAGACGCTGCCGTGCAAGCTATGAACCGCCTGGCAAGACTCTCGGCTCGCTGGCTTACAAATCAGGGTTTCTCGATCGGTATTGGCGACGTCTATCCTGGTGAAAAGCTTACAAGTCTGAAGAAACTGCTCGTTGAAGGGGCTTATGGCGAGTGTGATGCGCTTATCGAACGATTCAAGCATGGTCATCTTGCTAAAGCCCCTGGTTGCGATGAGGAACAGACAATGGAGAATTTGATTTCTGGAATCTTGAGTAAGGTTCGACAGCAGGCTGGAGAGCATTGTTTTGCAGAGCTCAGCAGGTGGAATTCACCCATGATCATGGCTACATCAGGATCGAAAGGCTCCAACATCAACGTCTCGCAGATGGTAGCCGTTGTGGGACAGCAAATCATCGATGACAAACGTGTCCCAGATGGTTTTCAAGATCGGAGTCTTCCTCACTTTCCAAAGAACGCCCGCCAGCCGCCCTCAAAGGGATTCGTACGAAACAGCTTCTTCTCAGGCTTGACCCCTTCAGAATTCTTCTTTCACGCCATATCTGGTAGAGTAGGTCTGGTTGATACTGCCGTCAAAACTGCAGAGACCGGTTATATGTCTCGAAGGTTGATGAAGTCACTCGAGGACTTGTCGACGAGATATGACGACACCGTGCGCAATTCTTCTTCGAATGTTGTTCAGTTTCAATTCGGAGACGACAAGCTTGATCCCCTTGATATGGAGGGTAAGGCGAAGCCTGTACATTTCGAAAGGACCTTTACCCATGCAGAGGTCGGTCGCTTTCTCTCCCTTGCGTGATTCCGTGCTAGATACTAACTTCATCATAAGGCCACAACTTGGGACAACAAAGACCGAACTCTACTGCCTTGGGAAATAATCTCAATGTGCAGTGACCAATTACAACCACGCCGAACAAATTTGGCACGCAAGTCTCTGATGGGAGAGGATTTGGAGTACCTTGATCGAAGTGTTGCCGCCATCGATGATAAAGAGAGTGCTCGAGATTTCCTGCAGACTATCGAAGATTTTGTGTCTCGAAAAGCCCATGAGCTAGCAGCGGCACGCAAGCGACTAGGGGTATCTGAGGGTCTTCGGAAAAATCACATGCCCAGATCTAGTCTCTCACAGGGAGAAAGTAAGTTCTGGCGTGCTTTCTGCCCAAAGCAAGGCTGATCTAGCTTAGTGAAAGAAGCCAAGGAACATGCGGAGCGTACTGCAAAGATATCAAGACCAGCCCTGATAGCATTTATCGGGGCATGTTTGGAAAAGTACGATAAAGCCAAGGTGGAGCCAGGATCCGCGGTGGGAGCCATCGCTGCGCAGTCAATCGGCGAACCTGGGACGCAGATGACTCTGAAAACTTTCCACTTTGCTGGGGTGGCCGGCATGAGCATCACGCAAGGTGTTCCGCGAATCAAAGAAATCATCAACGCCTCGAGGACTATCAGTACGCCTGTCATCAGCTGCGAACTCTATAGTAAGGACAGCATCACTGCCGCCCGCGTGGTGAAGGCCCGCATAGAACAGACATTTATCAAAGACGTATGTGCCTGTCAATTTCTAATCATACGCATGGCAAACGCTGACATCCACGCAGATCATTTACTACGTTGAAGATACATGGTCCCCTAATGGGAGCTATGTAACCCTGAAGCTAGATTTTGAAACAATTGGCCGTCTACAACTAGACGTCACTGTTCGAGACGTCACGGACGCGATCGTGAGACAGAAAAAGTTAAAGCTGAACCATCTCAATATCAGATGTCACAAGGACTACATCCGCATTGATATCCAAGCTTTAGACAAGTATAAGCGCGGCACCAAGAACACTACCATCAAGGCTACCGCTAGAGAAGACACAGAGCTCTCCCTTCGTGTAAATGCCGTCAAGCGCATCCTTCCTAACATCCCCATCCGCGGATACGCTGAAACTTCCCGTGCTATCATCAAGACTGACGATCATGGCAAGAACGCCCTGTTAGTTGAAGGTTATGGTCTCCGCAATTGCATGACAACGCAAGGGGTGAATGGACTTGCCACTAGGACGAACTCCGTCATGGAAATGCGCGACGTCCTCGGTATTGAAGCAGCGCGAAAAACCATCATTGATGAGATAGGCCTCGTGATGGGCGACATGGACATTGACCCGCGGCACATGCAGCTGCTCGCTGATGTTATGACCTACAAAGGCGAAGTGCTGGGCATAACGCGTTTCGGGTTGAGCAAGATGAGAGATAGCGTGCTACAGCTTGCCAGTTTTGAGAAGACGCCAGATCACTTGTTTGAGGCCGCGTGGCATATGAAGAAGGATAAGATCGAAGGGGTCAGCGAGTGTATCATCATGGGACAGAGCATGAGTCAAGGAACGGGAGCTTTCAAGGTGGTGCGGAAGTTGAATTTCAAAGAGGACGTTGTCGGCAAGAAGCCCACGGTCTTCGAAGATGCTTGGGGGGAGACGAGGCCGAGAAGAAAACGATGAACTATGTGCGATGATGAGATTATGTGCAACGACCTACATATGCATCGAGGTGGACACTGTGCTGCATAGCGACCGCATGGCAGGGGCTAGAGATACCTAGATTACGGAAAGCTGCTTTTGCTTAGGAAGCGTTCAGTTCAATCTCACAAAGTGTGTACCGCTGATGCTAAGAAGCAGCATTCAGTCCAACTGCTGTCTCGTAAGTCTGGGACACTCCGCCGATGCAACTAAACTAGTAGACTGGGGTCTGTAACGCTGGTATCAATTCCAGTGTGGGTTTCCATCAACATCAGAACCTCATCGAACGAATGTGAATCTCCATTGGGAGATCCTGCAAGGCCAAGCTTCCAACATGATGCTGTCAGATACCGCAAATTGCTCACCTCCTGGCTGCGGATTCAGGCACGAAGCCTTGCCGGTCACCCTCCGCGAGCCGACAATAACAGGCCCAAAGCCGTCGAGGCAAGATGGCAACCGGGGAAGCACGAAGACGGCGTCACTGCAGGCTATCAGACATCAAGGTCGCGAAGACCGGGATCCGAGCCGGGGGTAGTGGTGTCAATGGTCCGCACGGCTTGCAGGAAGCGCGGCATGTCGTCACCCGTGAGGCCGTCCAGCTGCGCCTGGAGCATGCACTCGGAGAGGGTTTTCAGGAACGCAATGTCGTATTCGTCGGCCATGGCGCACGTGCGTGCGTTGGAGTCGAGCTTGTTGTCGCCGCTGACGGTGTCGTCGTCGCTGGAGGCGTAGCAAGCTATGAGGAGCTCTCGCAGCGGAGCAGGATCGTCTTCCTTCAGCTCAATGACGTGGGAAATGCCTTCCCGTGACCAGTGTTCGCAGGCGGGGTGGCAAGGTGGGGGGTGGTTTGAGGGGGACCCGAAACCCGTCTTTGCACGCGTTTGTGGAGAAAGTTGAGTGGGGACGTAGTACCGCGCGGTCCCCACATTTCACAATGAGATCGGAGTCGTCGCCGTTATCAAATAAGGGCTTGAAAGGGTGAGATCGCTTGGTTGCAGGCACAGTAAGGAGAAGACCTACCGTGCGAGGCCGTCAAGAAGCCGGGTCTGAGTTGTAACTTTGGCATCTGTTATAGGACCTGTTCCCTCTGGGTTCTTCGTTTGGTCTGGCATTTCGAGAATGATGGGAAATTGATTGGCTGCGGAAGTGATCCTGGATGTAGATTCAATGGGCGTGTCAATGTTAAAGGAATGGCGAGGAAGGTCAATAGCAGCGGTACTAATCTAGATATGAAAGTGTTCACCTCGAAAATTGTTGGTTGGTGTTGAGTTTCATTGAATGTTAGGTGGCCTCGATTGATGGTTACACTGGACAGGACCAGCCAAGAGGCAATCATACCTATTCAGCAAGGAAGCACGGGAGCTAGTATGACTTTGTTCTTTAAAGGTATTCTCTCCTCTCTTCTGGAAAGATCAGAGTGTTTGCTAATGGTAGAAGGAATCTTAGCAGTATCGAATTAGGTCAAGTAGCAAAATGCCTATGGTCTCGAGCTGAAACACACTTTGCGGCGGTCCTAGCTGCGCCTCATTCGACATAAACCGGCCCAGGCATCGATCACATCAACTGCAAATTCCCCCTCACCAAAACCTGACAGGATCAAGGCCATGAACTCGTCGCTGTCTCGTAATTGCTGTTTGTATTCTTTCAGCTTTGGAAGGAGGCAGGCGCGCAAGCCTCGATCCGAGCCCAGAGTAGAGGTATAGACTACTTCGATCGCAGCAATGAAGGAGGGAATATCCGTAACTCTGGTCGTTGTGATGGCCATTGCGAATTTTTCTTTGGCAAGATCCTTCAGTTGTCCCACGCCGTACTTGTCTGCGATGGCGTACACCAATGCATGAGCCACAAGAGGCGGCTTTCCGTTGTCGTCGATCTGGTAGTCGAGGGCATAGAAGTACCGCAATAGTATACCTGCGTACTGTGGATCTTCTTCCTTGAGATCGACGATGCCGCTTGTTCCCTCCTTTGCCACAAGTCAGTGTCAAGATAGGCTACCTCAAGGTGTTGTAAGCCTTCTAAACATACCTCGAATTTCTTACTACATGCGTTCTTGAAGTATTCGGACCCCGAGCGAAGGATCACGCGATGGAGCTGCCAGACGCGATTGCCGCATTTGACTGTGAAGTCGGAGTCTTCGCCGGAGTCAAACAGCCTGTGATGTTGGTCAGTGTTGGCGGTCACAGAAATCTCCGAGAGAGGTACATGGTCATTGCCTCAGTATGCTGGTTCTGTGCGATTATTTTAATGTTGCTGACGGCGTTGGAAGCCATTTCAAGGCACGAGGGAGAGGTGTATAAGAGACTGAAGGTTGTTATTTCGAAATGCGTGGTAGCCCGGTGGTTATCTTTTGTGAATGATTTCGTGAGAATTATCTAGGAACGACTCTGGAAACAAAGGAATGAAGGGAGTAAACGTTTTGCTAGATCGGCGAAGAAGAGTGAAGCAGCGGGAGGATGCAATAGCACATTCACCGCGCAAAAGTGTTGAGGCTTTCATCTTGGCAGATCACTGTAACTTCTAAGAGCCAACCCCTTTCAACTTTGTCTCCCTTGAGAAGAGACGCTCGACGGATTACAGAAAGGACTGTAGCTGGATACTCGAATTCAAGGCTTTCAATTGGCTAAGGATCGGAGCTGCATAGTCTCAGAAAGGCCCCACGTCTACAGGGGGGGGTATGACGGAATCGGCTCGGGATTATAATATTCCGGCCCCCCCCCCTAAAATGTAGAATTCTGAGACTAGGAGCTGCACGGCAGAGAACCCAGAGTCATCAATCCCTACATCTCGGCCATATTGCAGAGTGTCTAAGCATCGACGACAAAAGCCTTGCGGATAGTCAGCCACCCAAGTAGCACACTTGTTGCAATGCCTCCACGACCACTTTTCGATCAGAGGCTCCTTTCCCATGTTTGGGCAGCCGGGGTGAGAGATTTGGCTGAGGTTCGCGCTGTTCGGTGGAAAGTCTTCCCACCAACTGGACAGTACCAGAGCAAAAATTTCCCAATCGGATGGCGAGGCCCTGATGTTCTGCAAGGGCAGCACTTGCTGCAAATTGACGGCGTAGACTACAGCAGCTTGGGTACTGGTTCAAAGGATGCATAAAGCAGTATATTGGCTGCTCGCTGAAATTGTCAACCTGTATCGAGCACACTCCGGCGTATTTCTATCTCAGAGATCCGTCAGCGAGACTCGAATCGCCAGTCAACGTAAGTCTCCAAATTCTCGTATCTTCGTCAAATGAGCTCGACATCTTCGATGACAGGATCATGATTTTGCTGTGGATGCCGCCCAGTCTCCTGGACGGGAGAACGCAGGGTTGGGCATGGCACCGCACCATGTCTCGTCTTTTGAACCACCGTCGAAAGCTTGATCAGCCATTTTTCTCGCTGTAATCGTATCTATTCAAGTAGACTGCTGTGGGCTCAAATCAAAGGCTGGATGGTTATAGACTCGGTTGATTGGCGGGATGGCTCTTGGTCTCAGTCTGTCCGACTTGAGCACAGTTTGAGCTAAGTCATTTTAAAAGCAACTTGTGTCGCAGCAGTGAAGGTGAAGATCCGAACACTTGAACGGAGTGAGCGGCCCTTGTAGGTGCAGAAGGTTTGTTTGACGACCTGTCATGTATGAGTCACGTTTTGGAGATTGAGACCTCACTCTCCTCAGGTCCAGGCATCCATTCGTCCAAAAAGCCTTCCTCACTAACTGGCGGCGTAAGATCCAACCCTCTCTTCGAGACGTAATCCCTCAACCTCGCCTTATTGAATACTACAGCACCATCGGCCCTCTTACTTGCTGTCAGCACTCCCATGTCTTTCAACGTGGCCACCACATCCTCAGGCAGCACCCAACACACCTCCGCAATCTTCCCCACACTCAGCGTTCGCTTGGCCTTCAGTTCCAGAATCGCCCTTGCAACTCTGGCCTCCCAGAATCGCATGTATCCTCTCCTACCCAACTCACTCAATGGTTTCTCTGGCCCACCAATGCGATTCTCTCGCCTGCTGAGTTCGTAGCTTACTCCCATGAGAATCTTGCCAAGGCCTTTGCGCTGCCAAGGCGGGAACACGAGGATGCAGGCCAGGTTGTTATTGTCCCAGCTCATCTTCTCTTTACTGAAGAAGCCGACGACCTGGAGATGAGGCGAGCTCGTGGAGTTGGGGGTGTGGACGAGGAGGTAGTAGTTGAAGGACGTGACATCGAAGAAGATGGACTTGTTGTCGAGAAAGAGCTTCGCAAAGAGGGACAGATTCTGGGCGAAAAGCTAGAAGATGACAGTAAGCGCCACCTTCAATGATCTAGAAACCGGGGAGGAGGGGGGGGGGTAAAGCAACCTGGTGTTCCTCGCCGTCTACCTCGTAGATAGCGTGCAGGTCTCGCGAGTAGATTGGTCTTCCAGGGGGACCTTCATGTTTCAATGGACACACCTTCTAGCACATCTCATTAGTGAGTGCAACACTCAGCAATTCTAAGATGCACGAACTGTGTGTGCTAGGTAAGGCATGAGGTCCTTAGAGTATTTGAAGCACCATGGGCAGACAAACAGCCTCTCAAGCTCCCTTCCAACCAGCTCCTCTGGATAGAAAGATGGATACCATGTCTTGAAGAGAATATCCCCGAGCACAACATTGCGGACATTCAAATCAGCAGGCTTCTCCTTGTTGCGGTGCGTGGCCAAAGGTGATGCTAAGGCATTGGTCGATACTGATAAGGAACCCATAGGAGGCTACCAAAGCCAGGCGATGATTGTATGGGTAATATTTCGTCGAAGAGGCTCATTGTCACACTTTTACTCTACCAGAAGAGTAAGCTGCTCCAATAGTAACGCAAACAATCGATTGAAGCCGATCTTTCACGCTAAGGTTTATCGGGCCGACTTAGGGCAAGGGTTGTTCCTCTCAACTGCTACCACCTCTCAAATCTCGAGGTACATTGTTTACATAGATAGTAGAGTATCATCCATGACACTCATAGAGCAGTACTATCTCCAGCACCTTCCAGCGTGCAGAGCACGTAATGAACAATACATATTCGTTATACATAATCGGTCTCTATCCACCACGCTCTCTCGTACTCCTTTTTTTTTCCATCCGCCAGATCATCCATCTGGCTCTCGCGGAACGAGATATTGGAACTCCTGACCTGATGCTGTAATGCTTGATCTTCCCGCTGTGGTTGTCATATCCGTGCCTTCATAAAACCCTTCCGGCGATTCAAACGCCCTCGCTGGCTCGCTAAGTCTCAGTAAATCGAGTACAGAAAGGAAAAGGGAACCTCTTGCTCAAGCCTCCAGATCAATGCTCCTCCCCTGCGCCTTTGCTCCCAATTTGGCTGGGACCGGAGTTCGATTTTCTTTCTCTCGCTGCGCCTCCCATATCATACGCTGCCGCCTCACATCGTCGATATTGAAGTCCGTCATCGCCTCGTCGTTACCCAACCGAGCATGCTTGGCTTTTGCTCCGCCAATTGAGCTTGTGGATTTCATCTTCTTCAGTGAGCGAGCCTTTGGATCTTTCACATCGCTGCTGTAGTTGCTAGGTATCTCTTTAACATCATTGCGTGAACGGAGGTTTCGAATCTCTCTGGCAATCTTTTCTAGTGTGGTACCCCGCTTCTTGGGCGTTGGTGGCACCGATGGTCCTGAATGTGCTGGAGAGGCTGGAAGGGGCTTGTCTTTGGTTAAAGCATTGCTTTTGCTGCCTGTGCTGCTGCTGGTGGAAGGTCGATCGCCAGTAGCAAAGCTCACTCCAGAGTCCGCCCTTCGATCACTTCGGCGGTGTGCCTCGATTTCTGGGTCGAAGTACTCTGGTCCTGAAACCTCAAGGCATTCTTCGATCACTCCGTTGGCCGCACGTAGGTACTTGTCTACGACGTCCCTGACAACTATCCAGCCATTGGCGTCTTCAGGGCGTTGACCTTGATGTTCGAGGTTCTTAAGGATCCCTTTGCCATTCTTCTCAACGGCTTGGATGTAGCGGAAGAAGGCGCTGCGTTGAGAGTCGAGGATGTGGATTGTTATTTGACGAGTCGGAGCAGTATTCGTTGAAGGTGGATAGAGGGTGTTGAGCATGGCGATGCTGTTGGCTTTACTGAAGGGCTCAAGGCGCATTTCGTTGATCAAGGTCTAGACGTTCTGTCAGTAATGACTTGCGACAAACTTTGGGCGAGTCGGCAAAGGGCGTACCCAGCGACGGAGGCCAATGTACACTTGTGAATACAGTGCCTCGACTTTCTTCTCCTTGCCCTGCATGCTGAGTACCCAGTCTGATATCTTTGCGTTCTTACTGATTTCCCCTCCAGCTTGTTCTACTATTGCAGTGTCCAAACCCAGTCTTTTTAAGGCCACAGTCAGCTCTCGCTTCCTTCGATTCTCTAGATCTTTCAAATAGTCCAATGCTGTCAAAGCTTGCGTGAAATCAACTTTGCACAGTTCGGCTGGGAAGCAACGTCGGACGAAAGACGTGATGAATGATGGGGGCAGCGAGAAGGGCTGGGAAGGCAGATTACTGATGTGTGTCATCAGGCAGCTTTTGAAGTGGTCTGTAGCGCTTTGGGCGGCGAATTGGGTTTGCTGGTGCTCTGGTGGGAAGCTTGGAGATGCTGGAGAGCTGTCTGGGCTTGATGCACTTGACGATAAGGAGGGAGTGCCGGGCTGAAGCGATTGACGTCGGTGTTGCTGGGCTTGCGGTGTCGAATTGAGTGTATACATTGTTCGTAAGGGGATCTCATACGTGCCCGGGTATGCGAGGAGATGCTCAAGTATCCAAGGAAAGGCGGCACCATCGTTGGAGGACGTAGTTGAGGAGCTGTTGTGGGGAGACATGGCGCTTGGCGATGATGTGGTACAAGGATGGAGGATGTGTTGGGGGCGTTTGGGGCAGCGCCTCAGCCGTAGATGGAAAACACCAGAGTCTGAGCCAATTCAGTTCAATAGATCATGTTGAGTCTGCTGTCTGTAATTGCAGTAGGTTATTGGGAAAAGGTTGTTGATGCCGGGTTTATTTGTTGATATAGAACTTCCGTTGCCGTGCGGTTTGTTTCCTACTCACCTTTCAAATCCGCTCAGCCCTAAGATGACGAAGCAAACTCCGACCCCACGGATTTCATGCGCATGGGTTTCCAGTTTTACGACTGATTTGGTATGATATGCAAATTGTGTCTGTGATGGCCAAGGCGAGCAAACACTCGAGGCGGGCTACCTCCGAGACAATGGATGCCGCTGATCGATCAAGAGGAAGAGGATATAAGTGCGATGGATATGACACGGTGTCAC